CACCCCCCCACACACCGCCCCACCAGCAGCCCCCACCTCACCGTTGTCTCTGGGGACGGCCGACTCGTCCAGCACCACCTGCTCAGCCAGCTCCGACAGAGAGTCGCCCACCAGCCTGGAGCCGCGCAGAGATGTGGACAAACGGCGCCTGAACATCTTCATGCGATCCATCTGGAGCGCGCCCTAGTGGGGCCTGGGGAGCATGAGAGGGAGCAGTCTTCATCATCATCATCATGACTGACACTGACCAACATCTTTCTAAGACTGCAGTCACTCATTACACAAAAAAAAACACACATTTCTGCTCATTAAACATACAAATTTCAAATACTCCGCAACAGCTGTTACAAGCACGTATTGACAAAAAGAAAACTGCCTCAATTGCCTCAACCACAATCCAATTACTATTAAAAACAAAAATAACATCACAATAAAATAATAATAATAATAATAATAATAATAATAATGCTTTGGCAGTGTAGTTAAAAAAAAAAAACATCAATATGCTCAAGAATGGATTTTGGTTTGTTGATCTGCCGATTCATACTGACACAAAGCAAACATTGTTTGTAAAAGCTCAGGCTGAAAATCCATCTTAGAACCTTGAGCTGACAGCAGAGTGTACTGAGCCTCACCATCGCATCACCAGAATGATCCTGAAGGACAGGGGCCCAAAACAGAGCTGAAGCCATTTAGACCGCGGCCTCAGAAGGCCGGGTGTGCAGTACACTCCCCCGTTATAAACAGTCTTTCTGTAAAGGTGGACCTGCGGGCGAGGAGGGGTTAATTCCATTAGAGGGCATCTCACTGTATCCATTTCAGGGGTACTTATCCAATCAGCTGGGGCTCCCAAAGAAGCAGAGATGTGTGGGATCATGAGAGATGGCAAAAAGACCCTCCCCCCACCCCCCAAAGTGGGATACAGCATTGATGAGCCAGTCTGTTACATGTGATATAGGGGCTACGCCTCTCGTCATGCCTGGAGAGACGCACTATTAAGTAGGAGGAGTCTGTGTTTGTGCACAATCACAGTGTAACATCAACATCCCTACCAAGAGCAGACACAGCACAGCAGAGAGGAGAGCAGAGAGCGTGAAGAGGAAGAGGTACGAACATGATGAAAGGAGATGCAAGATAAATCCACCATCTGCCAAACGGTTATTAACATTATAAAAGTGAAGCAGAGCAGAGCAGCGTCATGGTGAACGGTAAGCTGGGTAGTGATATTAGCCTGGGGACAGCGAGCGGCTCTGTGGCCGTGATCAGATGGGTGCCGCTTCGAATACCGTGGCCGGGAGACTGATGCTGTCACTGGGCCCCTGAGTGAGGCTCTTAACCCCCAGCTCCAGGGACAATGGACATTGGCTGAACCTGTGTTGTGACCCCGAAACTTGCACTCACCCGTATGCATGTTTGTGTTTCTCATGGAGACCAAGTAGGGGTAGGTAAAGAGAATCATTCCATTGTAACTGTACTTGTACTTGAGCAAACGGCAAATAAAGGATCATTTCATTTAAGACCCCCGCAAACACCTGGCTCAGTGACACAGGAAGATCCAGCTGTCTGGCGGATACATGCTGACAACCACAATGTATTTAAAACCCCTGGTTTACAAAGCTGTAAAATCAAAGTATTCACAAAGTTGCCTATATGACAAATCCTTCAAATATAATATAGTATAATTCAATGTCGATTCTTCCCCACGTTAAACTCAATCTTTAAATCTGCTATTGATCTCAAAGTTGAAAGACAGTTGGCCATGAGAGGATAACCCCTACAGGAGATGGAGATACCCAGAGGCGTGTGACTGGGAGGAATGGTGACCTGGATCCAAACTCATGCCAGCAATCACGGCTTGATGAGAAATATGCTGAATGAGCCAGGAAGACACAGAAGTGTCTACCTGAATTCATCTCACAATCTCTCCCAAACGCAAGACCAGGACACTGGGACTCAAAGAGCCATATTCAAGGTAATAAAACAGATATTGAGCCCCCAGGGGGAATATTTTTGTTTTCCAGCTGCAATACAAAAACAACACGCAAAACAGTAGCCTTCCATAAATAAGTGCAGAGTGCACAAAGCATGCGAGACGTTTCACTGCATGTTATTCTCATGTGTGGTTTTCCAAACATGGAATGAGCTAATAAAACATGGGTAGTGTATGTAATACATATGTACTAAATTATTTGAAAAACAATACTTGTAACTCCAAGACCTTCACTATTTTTTAATAATCAAAAGGTACTAAAAAAGCAGATGAACTTTTACCTTGGAAAGCGAACTTAGACTTGTGCAAAAGTTGAGCTGGACCATACCATGAATTCAAAAGAACTCTTTGGCCTTTCCGTTGAGTGGCAGCTGAGCCATACAGCGGCAACAGTAACGGTAAACATCATAAGACAATACTTTAAGGTTCATCAATCAGTTGCAATTACTTTGAGTGTTTATAGAGAAAATGGCATTTGAGAATAAAGTAGTGAGCAGTTTTATATATTAAACTGAAATCCAGCAGAAAAATACCATTTTCAAAAACAATAATGTTTAATAGAGAAAAAAGTTTAAAGAAAAATTAAATGACATTTGTTCATAACCATCACTATGCTGGTTATTCCTAACCTGTCTTTACCCCATATAATTTTGTCCATTACTGCAGTTTGTCTTTTTCTTTACCCTGATTAAATGTAAGATGCTAGTGTTATACATAAGCAGTGAGCATTTAAGTTTATAGAAACTTACCCACATTCAGTAGATTATTTTAAGCACCCTCTCTTTTTAAATTAGTAATACTTTAGACAAGAGTCCATTTAGTCATTTATTAACCAGAGGCCGTGTCTAAGAGCACTCTCTGTTTTAGCGGAAAAAACATACTGTGATTCCTCTACGTTCTTGGTTTTCTGTAGCAAAAAAAAAGCCTACAATTTGGAAACTAGCCTCTGAGAGCCATTAAAGAAAAGAAACAGAGGCCTAAAGCCTCCCATCAGCCATAGGGCTGTACGGGACCCTCCACAGAGCGGTGGAAGTAGCTACACCAAGCACAACAGTGCACACAGCAATGATGCATGCGACAATGTCCATTTGATCCTCAGTTTCAGTAACACAACAGTACAACATATCGCTCAGGTTAGTAGGATCCCCCCCCCCCCAAGACCATCTAAAACATCGGCTCTGACTATGCATGCTAACCAGATTATCCCCCCCCCAAGGCTCAAATGCCACTCTGGAGTTAAGGTGAACAAAAGTTAGCTAAATGAAAAACACCTGGAGTCACAACACCGCTGCAGAGCTACCAGGTGCCACGGCAACAAGGCCATCAAAAGCACCACGAGCATGTCCTAATCAGAGCGTTGCATGGGGTTGGTAGTTTTTTCCAGAGGATGTTTTGAGAGACTTTCCGAACGAGAACGGAGGAACCAGACAGCATTAATTACCCCTTTGACCTTAGAGAGGAGAGTCAGGCTGCCGCTACACTTTTAACTAAACAAAACATAGGCCATGGAAATTTATCAGCTTATTGTTCTGGGAAATATCTTCGAACCAGGGGACAGTTCAGAAAGCCCGTCTATCTCTGCTCCTGGGTTGAGCTCCAGGATCATGCAGGATCACCCAGGATCTCCCAGGATACCTCAATCCCACAGCTGGCAGTTTCCAAGAACTTCCTCTACTTGCTTCTCTTGCTCACCAGGAGGCTGCCTTCAGGACATTTCCATTTCTATGCAACTTCCAAGTCTGTAGTTTAGCATTGAATGGGCACATGCATTTTTACCTTCATTACATTGCACACACCAGGCACGAGGCACTCAACCTTTCTGGCAAATTCATTAGTTCAGCCCATAGCAAATCCATTAAAAATGGCCTTTAGGGAGCACCAGCCAAGCAAGCAGGCAACACAAAAGATGCACAGGAGGGGAGGTTTCAGATTTCACCCGAATGTAACGTGACCGGCAGACACTACACTGTCATTCTCCTGCAGCCCATTTTCTTTTAGACACACAGCTTTTAAAAAGTATGGCATTACATAAATCACCCACAGTTTATCCACCAAGACTGGACTCTGGACACTACGGCAGAAAAACCTCGCTGCTGTTAATCCCTCACATGCTTGAATGTGGCCACGCAGGCCACAGACCCCCTCAGCAGCCCCCAGAAGAGGGTGAGACATCCAGCTGGGCAGCACTGCCAGTGCTCTGGGAGGGGCAACAGGCAGAGACACGGATGGTCACTTAGCACCTGCCACACACTGAATTTACCTCCATCTTCCACTCTGTCAGGTTCTGCTTTACCAACCCCCTCCCACTGCACTGATGGGAAGAGAGGGCTGCAAATCGAATATATCAGGGATAATACAGGCTGGGTCGTCTGGGGAACAGGGGTCCTACAGGATTCTCTGATGACTCATTCTGCCCCCCCCCCTTCCCCTGCAGTACTGATGCCCATCTAAGCAGAAGGCATTATCCATCACACAAAACCTTTTCTATTCTTATGTATTTTTAACCTCCTCTTTCAGACTCCCTCCCAAAGGTCTCCCAAAACTAATTCTGCTTATGCCCTTAACCTAAATTAGCTACTTAAAGTTAGAATGGTTTTACGCAGACGTATTATAGATCTTCCCTCCAACACACGGGACAGACTTTGCTCTCTCGGACACAAGTACCTTCCAGTCAGCCGTCAGCGCGGCACGTGTCTGTGACACACCACAGTCTGTGCAGGGCAACATGACATCAGCCTAGGATTTACAGGCCTTCATAAAAGGCGCTTACACTGTGAACACAAAGGCTATGCAAACAAGTACGTTTGTCAAAAATAATAATAATAATAATAAAATAAAAGATTACAATGGAAACAAAGAGCAAGCATGCTGTTCATAAAACAGAACCATCCCTGGGAATAGCATAAATATTAGCTAAAAAGCAACATAGAACAAATGGGATTTAAAAAGGAGTACAGTCCATCTTTTATTTGAGTTACATATGCCCAAAGACATAAATCCTTGTCAGCTTCCTAATTAAAAGTGGAATTCAGAGCCGTCACCGGACACTCCCACGTAAAAGATCCGTATCCAGGCTGATTCACCAGACAGCCCCCCTCATTCACAGCACGTTTCTTTAGACTTCATTAAAGGCAACACACTTTTTAAAAAAACAAAAAAAAACGTTTGCCCTTACTAGGTTATTAGGACTTGCGGTCTCTGCAGGAACTTCTGCATTCACGGCCCCCAGCAGATAGGCGGGGCAGCTTCCCACAGCAGCAGCCCTACAGAAGCCAGGTCCCCCAGTTTCCCAATTACACCATCCCATTTAGCTCAAGTGAGTAAAGGGACTGGAAGGAGCAAGCAGCCATAGAGGAGGGTTTAGAGGTCTGGATTAGAGCCCCCAATTCCAAACAAGGCTTAATTATTTTTTTATTAGCTATATGGGGGGTATAAAAGAGCACAGAACCCCCTCACTGCCATCTGTATGCATCCGTCCTCCGTCATTAGTGGTGCTTAGACCAAACCGCCATTTCCGTTCTGCTAATTTATCGGGAATTCAGGCAGCCAAAGGGCAACTGCGCGTTCTTTCCTCCGCTCATTGTCTCTGTGACAGTTGCTCGTACCCGACGCCACCTCCCTTTCTGACAGCTGCTTGCCATCAGCTGCACTAATGAGCACCGCCAGGAAGATCCCCAGCGACGGCGCAGGCCTCTCGTAATGTGACCCAGAAGCCAGAGCAAGCAGCTGGGACCGTAGGTGACAGAAACAATGTCAGAAAGAGGCAAACGCTACCCCCCCCCCCCCCTCCCTTTTTGGTGGGGTTTCACTGTTAGTCCAATAAATCTGCCTGAATGGGACTGGACTACCTGAATGGAGTAATGGAGAAGGTGGCAGTCCAATAGTGTGGTACAGTATAGTATAATATGATATCGTATCAGGGTTGCCAACTCTCACGCATCTGGCGTGACATTCAGGCTTACAGACTCCCACGCTGGAAATCTTACAGCAAATCTATATTATTCCATTATAAACCTAATATTACCTACATCAAATATGTTGGGGTAGTTTGCAAACCATACAGGTTATTTACAAGGTCGTTAAACTGTTCAATACGTGTGCATATGTATGCAGACTTGTCTCGGACCAAAGTTGGCAACCCTGTAGTATATAATATAGTTATATCATATAGTATAGTGTAGTATTAAAGTAGGAGAAAAACAGTACGAATGTAAAAAAATATATATTAAAGTATGAGGACAAATGAAAGCAAAGGGGCAAAATATATGGGAAAATAACACAATGGTTTGGCAAAACAAGACAGAAAAAAAGCTTGTTTGGTGGACCGACAGGTTAAAGACCAGTTAGGTATAAGGTCATGTCAGATCTTAACGTGGAGAATTTTTAAAATAAACTGTTTTAAAAAAATAAAACCAGAACTGACCTACAGGCTTCTAATTTTCTATGCCCATGTAGACTTGGGCGATGTAAACACGCGCAATACACTGAAAGTGCTGAACTCTGCAACAAACACAACAGCGCAAACTTCCCGATGTGGGCAATACCACTGCGATCTTCAAGTAAGTTTGTTCAGTTGCCAGATCGGGGATTGTTAACATGTAACTGAGGGATGTACTGAAACTGCGCCGTGCCTCTGAGGCAGTCTAATGTTTGCTTATTCAGGGCAGCAGATCGACAAAAAAGCAGCAGCAGTAGCCCGGGGTCCGGGCCCTTTCCCCATGCTTTAAGATCGTCTCGCCGCGGTTTCCTGTCTCCGCGGCCGCACAAAGGGCCGCGCGGCGAGGCGCACAAAGGTAGTCTGCTGCGCCTCCACCAATCCCGGAAACCACACCGACAAGGAGGGAGCGATCGGCGGTCCACAGTCCGCAGAAAAGCTCCCGACGGTTCCGTTTGGGGATACATGCCATTTGGACGTGATCTGTATACCGGACGGCTCGCTTACCGATCCGACAAGAAGGCGATCAGACAGCCAGGGAATCGTTATTTAAAAACTCGGCATGTCCAAATCATCGAAACGCTACGTTAGGAAAGCATAGTAAAACACTACAAAAATCGCTGAGACACTGGGTAAAGTTTTCGGGGCTAGTTTAAAACTCGACTTTCTGAGCGTGCCCAGTGGAGCAGCGGGACAGCGCGCCTTGGCTGGTGGAGTAATGGCGCTCTCACCTCGGGCTGCGGGCAACTGTGGGACGCGGAGCTCCTCCGGGACGGGACGGCTCGGCTCGGATGTGATCCTCTAACGCAGCCGAGGCGGATACGCCGCAAGGTGCAGCACATCCACTGTACCGGGTCCCAAACTCATCCGACGCCTCTGTCCCTTTTGTTTAAACCACCAGCTGCATGTTTCACGCTAACCTCTGCTGGGTATCTATTGCATTATTATTTAAACCATATCTCATATTAAAGTGTAAATGTCAAAAACATCGTTCATGTAATGCGATCCATGGCTGAGATCAGTGCCAGAAACGAAGGCAAGCAGGAGCGCTCCACGGATCCCGGAAAACCTTGAACCCGGGGGAGTGTCCCGTTTAGCTTCATTTGAATAATTGTATTGATTTTTGTCTAAGCTTTACTTAGGAAATGCTGGGAGGGAAATGAAAGCGCCGTGTGGAGATGTATTGCAGTAAAGCTTCTAACGATAAGGCGTTTTAACAAATATGTGAGGTATATTTATACATGTAAAACTCCTTATTATAACTACATTTTTAGGAATGTGAATTTATAATGTCTCTACAGCGTTTTGATGATGGCGGAACAGAAGAAAATTATGTAGAAAAATTGCACAGAAACATGTGAAATTATAATGGTTTCTTTTAAAGTGTATTTCCGTTTCAATGGCGCAATGAAACACTCTTTGCAGTTGTAGAATCTTCTAGTGCCATCCCGTGGAGTGTCTGGACAGTCCAACACCTGATAATTGATTGTCCAGATAAACCTTTACTTTCAGTTGATTTCAGTTTATGACATTATTCATCAATTGAAAAAAATCGATCATTAAGGAAAGCTTCATAAACAGACATATTCATTCGTATCCTGGACTCTGAGAATTTGTATAGGATATTTTCTGATATTTACACAAGGGGGAGCCATGTTTCAAGCTTTGTAAGAACTTGTAAGCCTTCGAAACTTTAAGGTGTTTTGTCATGCAGGTATTGTTAGTAATATAATTAACAGATAACGATTTAATTGCATTGAAGTTTTACTTCCAACATTCCTATTTACCTTTATGTGTAAAGAAATGTAAAGTGTCAATTGAAATGATTAATTCTCTTTGTTGTGTGTAGGTGGAAGGTAGATATGTGATTTTGGAAGTGTCGAATAGTTTTAGTATAATGTAATCCATGTTAATAACACCATGAATGATGAACAAATGTTTCACTTCCTCTAAATATTTCCAGTATTTTAATATTAGTGTGCATGGAAAATGTAGTTTAGCGGTTGTTTCTGTCAAATAATTCCTGTTGGTTCTAACATTTTGCGAAAGTGGAAAAAAAGATGTACCATTTATCAGGAAAAAGTCATACTTAGCATACACAAAGAACTCCTTCAGATTCACTTTATTTCTTACATATATAGGCTAGAATAATTGTTTTTAAAATATAGACATTAAACAAATTATATTTTCTTTTCTGGTAACTAAAAACACATTAAAAGAAACCTTGTAAGATTACTAACATAATACATTAATGTGGAGCAAGGTCACTAAGTAAATTCTGTATATAATTTAAGTAATTTACACATGTATATCTGCTATGTGTTGAGAGAACAAAAAAGCTTTTGTTATTAATGATGCTGGGATAACTCTCAAGAATTGACCCTTATTGTTTGGCCCTCAAGAAAAGCCAGAAACTGAAACTCCTCTGGTGGTTAGAGGACACTTAAGAACCCTTGAGCCATTCTCTGCCCACATACAACAATACAACCTTTGGCAAGGAGGATTTCGGGAACCCTTTCGCACATAATGGGGGCTAATGGGTTCTCTCTGGAATTCATCCTCTGTTTAGTCAATCATGACATTCTGACCTCTCGTCTCAGTCATGAGATTGGCATCCAAGGGGTTGCTTTAGACTGGTTTAAGACATTTCTTACAGGTACCTGTAGAAGGTTCTCAGTAAGACTAGGTGATTGTACCTCTTCTTCAGCTGCTCTTACATGTGGAGTTCCACAAGGTTCAACCCCTAGGCCCTTAATATTCCTGTATATTTTGCTATTAGGCTCCATATTCAGGAGACATTGCTTTTCAACATTGTTTTTTATTGTTACACAGATGATACACAAATTTACTTACCAATTGACAGAGTGATTCAAAATCTCTTCCTATTCTATTTGAAGGCCTTCCTTGACCTTGGTGCTCTGTCTATCTGCTGTAAATCTTCTGTACAGAACCTTGGAGTGGTTTTAGATAGCTAATTTAAATTTGACATTCACATTTCTTCCGTTCTTTAAGGCTGACCTTAGAAGTCTATCCAAAGTTAAGCCTTTTCTTTCCACGATACGAGGTACAATTTTAGATAATAATCCATTTTGCCCCGATAGCTGCAGTTCTCTTTACACTGGAGTAAGTCACTCATTGATTACCTGACTTCAATTATAAATTTGAGCATATTTTAGCCACTTTACGCTGGCTTCCTGTTACTGTTGATTGTAAAGTTTTGTTTTTTGTTTTCAGATGTTTACACGGCTTGGCCCCAAGCTACTGATATACTTCCTGCTGACTCCCCTCATCGTGCCCTTAGATCCTCACACAATTACTGCTAGATGTGCGCAGATCTAGGCTAAAGCTGAGAAGTGATCGTACCTTTTCTGTAGCTGCACCCAAATTTTGGAATAGCCTACTTTTACATGTTATGTAACAATTTAAGTGTTTAAAGTCAAGTTAAAACATTTATTTTCTTTGGCCTTTGACTAATGAGAGTTGTCTCCTTTTTGTCTTTTTGAATGGATGTTGATTGCTGTATGTATGTAACTTTTTTCTTGGCTATGTGCAGCACTTTGTCTCCACTTGAGATGTTTGAAATGTGCTCTGTAATAAAGATGACTAGACTTGACAAGCTTGTCCTCTCAGGCCATGATATGACCCATCACTCCAAGCATTCACAGCATTGTAACATAGCTGCTACAGATTATGTCTGGTAGTGCACTTTCCTTTTTTGCGGACAGAATGTTCACACAACGTACGTTGTCTAAGATAGGAAACGTCTTGGTCGGTTACCCAAAGCCCATCCAAGTGCAGGTCAAACACCAGTGCCTTTCACTCATACCCTCGCACCAAATCCCTCTATCCTCGGCACCGGTGTTTCTTCCACTTGCGCGCTGCAGTCATAAGGTTGCGATCACGCTTGTGCCAGCTGTAAGCCTTGTTGACAACCAGACGCTCGCCCTGCACCGTGCCCATCACCAGGAAGGTGCCGCCCGCATGCTGCCGTCGTGTCATGTTGCGCACACAAGTGGCGTCCCGCTCCAGCCAGAGCTGGAGTCGCGCGCGAATCTGGCCGCCGAGTAGTGGACCATGTTTGAGGACCTCCAGCCTGGAGGCCAGTGTGAACTGGGCCAGATTGACGCTGCTGGAGTTCAGGCGTGAGAGACGTAGCTTGACCACTGGGGGGACAGAGAGGCATACATCAGGAGACAGATGTGAGACGGCATCAGAGAGAGCTACAAGGATGAGCAGTAATTTGTACCTGGGCTTGCAATTTTGAGATCACAGTGGATAGAAAAATGAATAGAGGGTCACTGCAGTCACACTCACTGAGTGGCAGCGTTAGCAATCAGCTTGAATGCCAATAAGACACATCTAAAATGGGAAAGAGCTGCTGTGCGATTGATTCTACCAATTTCACAAGAAGTCATCTTTTTACAGAAATCCACAGAAATGACTGGAATCCAGCTTCCAAAACGTGGATTTGCGGTTGTCATTTTGTGTCAGTTATGTTGGATTTTTGGGTAAAATCAATACCTCAAGTTATATACTGTACTGACTGCTCATCAATGAAATATTTCACATCATTCATTTATATTCTGTGTAACTGTAAAGTTTTTGTCAGCATTTAAAAACATCCATGACGATGAGCCTTGTTTTCTACAAACAAAATGGGTGCTGGTTAGACAGCGTTAGTTAGCCAAGACAAACCCAGCTTTCCTTATAAGGGGCTACTCCACAAAGCAAGTACCAGATCAGTTTAAAAGTTTCTTCAAAACATGTTGAGCCCAGCTACCTTTAGCAGATAATTCTTTGTTTTGCAGTTTACACAACTAAAATCAGCCAGCATGTTTTGCCACTCAGTTCATCTGAGGGGGGTTTTCTGTACAGAAAGTGATGTCATTGCATACCCCCTACAGAGGATGGATAATGAGTCAAGGGACAGTGTTCAGTTTTCCAAAGGCTGGTTTTTGGGTGTTCCCATCAAGATATGAAATACAAAGCATAGTAAAGGTGTGGTGTATAAAAAATGGCTTGAGGACGTTAAAAGAATGAATTGCCGATGAAGGGTAGGGGCATCAAGGGTAAGAACAGAAAACTGAGAGGAAGACAAAAGGATGGAGAAAATAAGACTAGGACTCCTCACCAAAGTCGTTCCTACAGAAAGTATCCAGGGCATCTCTGATGGACTCCGCCTCCTCCAGCTCACAGTCCCTACAACTGGCCCGAGGTACGGCTGAAACACAGAGGAACTCTGATCAACAATCCAGCACAGATGCCTATGATGTCCCACTACACATGCATAGAACATATTGACAACACATTTCTCTGTAGCAATAATCTACAGTTTATGATTAATTTCTGAATAGCACATTACACTGCGGAGATACAGCTATTCCAGCCCAGCCTGAAAGATCAAAAATGATGCATTCATGAGGTTTAAAGAAATTATCTCATCGTTTCACCACATTGACAATTTTAACATTAACATTATTAATGAGAATGTCTTAATGATTTGGCCTCAGGCATTTGTTGAGGAAAAACGTGTGTTGTTTACTGTTATTGCTGTGAAAGCTCTAATAATAAGCCCAATTTCTTTCAAAGTAACCCCATTTTTGAGTTGTCAGGTACATCAGAAATGCAAACAGCTTATGTGCAAAGTGGGAGACATATGGCTTAGTTTTACACAATTACAGGCTGTAACAGGTATATGCAAATAAGATTAGCTGTAGCTTGACAACCAAACTGCATGGGCCGACTTCTGCGTAACATGCAAACTTACCTTTTCGGCTGTTGGGGTGGGAGGAGGTGCTGTTATGGATTGATGAGACGCACATGAGGTTGTCAGCAGGGAACTGGTCACAGTTAAGAATGGCAGGCCAGGGATAGCCATAGCAGGCCATGATGGGAGCGCAGCTGTCCCTCACCAGCTCGCAGAGGCTGCGGCATGGTGAGATGAACCTGTGGGGAGGGAGAGCCCACAGGTTTGAGATGGGTGGGGGGTGCTGGCAGGAAGGAAGTCAACAATGAATGGATTAAAGGAACAAATTGTGGGGAGTCCATTTAGAGGAGAAAATTACAACACTCATTCTGATAACGTATATTTTGAAAGAGGCGTGAAGTCAAAATGCAACTCAAAAGAAATGCCTTTGCTTTGATGACTCAGTGAGTCAGGAGATTGTGACCCAATGCAGATCAGCAGGGCTGGATTTGCATAGCGGTCAGTAGGCCCCAACCTCCCCCCAAGGTCCATTCAGATACCAGCTTCAGGGTTTTGCGAAGATCAGAGAGAGACTCAGCAGAGAGATCTGGGATTAGACTGAGAAAAGGCTGATTCCTCTGCAAGCCAATGAATAACAAAAATCATTTCAGATATGTGGCCTGAGATGCAGATGAATTCCTGGCAGGAGAGAATTTAACAGTCTATTCTAATGTACATTATTCCTGAGTATCGGTATGGTCTTCACAGTTATATGGTTGTGTGTGATTGCTTTTATTATAAAACCAACAAACAGCACCTATGATTAGTTATTGTCTCCCATTGCTGCATTGAAAGTAACCAGCCAGTGACTGGAAATGTTTCTGGGGTAATGCATCAGAATTAAACACCCAGACTTTTGACCATACATGTAGTTTTTGTCTACTACAGTTAAATATTCCTAAGTATATATCCGTAAGAGAACAACCCTCCATCTAAATGCTTGTCTTTCTTTTGAAAATTACTCTACTTTGATTCCTGATATTTCATTTGGGGTCAAATGCCAAACAACTCCTTGTTTAGCTTTTGCTTATATAAATCCAGTCGTGTAATGCACTGAAAAGTGCATCAGTTTTCATTTCCTCAGTTTTCCCTGATGATTCCTCAGTATTGAGTCGATAAGCTGGTGCTGTCCTCCCTGTAAGTATGGAATCAGCCTTACCTGTCCAAACAGATGGGTGCGAAGAGGGAGCAGAGGAAGATTCGGGCATCAGGGTGGCATTCACGAGCTAGGAGGGGCAGCCAGCTGACTGACTGCTGGATAGCCTCCCCCAGCGACTCATGTCCCAGTAAATTTGGCATCCTCATGTTCCTGTAGCCGATGTTGTGGCACAGGGCCATGTTGGCGGGGATGGGGATGCAGCGAGAGGAGCTATGGAGGTCCCACTGGCCATCTCCCAACTGCAGCCCCAGTCCGAGCGCTGGCTCCAAGTCAAGCAGGAGCAGGAAGGTGAGAACAGGGAAGAATCTTGATGACAAAGAAATAACCATTACGGCACGAGCTGCAGTGCTGGATCCACAGGATTCTGTATGTATTTTCCTTTGAGGGAGAGTACCTCTGTATGGGACAGGGTACAGTGAGGCTCGATGCCTTTATACAGGGATGGGATGTGTTCCCTCTTCGTAGGTTGGGCTCACATTTGCATGCTTGAGGAGTGAACAATAGGCGAGGAGGTGGGAGGGGGGTTGGGTGTGGCTTTGGGGTGCCATGGATGTCAGGAAAGAGACTTTCTTGGCATAGTGTTTTGGATAATGCGAGTGTGGCAGTGTTAGGGCATGTGTGTGCGTGCGTGTGTATGTGCGTGTGCATGCCGTGTTCTTGCCTAAGTGCTGTTCGTCCTCTTGATTTACTATGTGAGGTGAGTAGTTATAGACTTTAATCTCCCTTCCCTCGGCCAACCTGACATCCTGATTCCTCCACCTCTCTGCTGGAGACCATGAGGGCAAATTATCACCAAGCCCCCCCCCTGCATTCTCTCTATTCCCTTCCTTCAAGGAGAGTTTGTTACTGAACACAAAGTACAGCCAATATTTTAGCATACCAATATTTTTGGAGAAACCAAACCATTAATGTTGTCTAATGCTTGCAACAGTTTCCAATTAACTTGTTGCATGTGCAATTCCTTGATATAAAACATACAAACAAAGACTCTTCTGCTTCTTGTTTAGATAACTGGATTAAAATATTTGACAGTTATAAAATGTTGATATTTGTGGTAAAAAGTTTTCCTAACAAATAAAAAATGTACCATTTCACTCAGTAAAGTGAAATCTATAATTCCTTAGTATATACTGTCCTGAAAAGCTTAGATACTAATCAAATATGGATGGAAAATTGCTAAACTGCTAATATTGTTAGCACAAGCTTTGCATTATAGCATGAACCAGGGCTATTCAAATCACGGTCCTCAAGTGCTGAGCACTGCTGATTTTCCAACCTTCCTTAACCCGTGAGCCAGGTGTGAAGCCTCTGCTCAATCAGAATCAGTAATTTAAACTGTCTGCCTGGGAGAAATGAAAACAAAGCCTGGATTTGGAATCAGGGGCCAGATTTGAAAAGCCCTGGCATTAAGATTGAGGCAAAATACAGCTTTGTGGATATCTTAGAGCTGGCACTGCCTACTGCAAGGGGACTACAGATATTGTTTTTCCACCCACTGTGATTTGCTTTGTACCCAAACGAGACTGTTATTTCCCCCCTGCTCCATCTAAGAATGTGTGGAACTGGCAGCCCAGATCGTGCTGCAGAAGGAAGGAGGGGGGGGGGGGGGTTTAAAGTAAGTATTACTAATATGAGCTTATGGAACAGGTGGACCAAAATCTAGGCAGAGAAGTATAGAAAGATAATGCTGTTGTAACAAATAGCTGGGAAGGAAAATTGTGTGTATTGTAGGAATGTTCTTTTGGAACATGAAGAAGTGGTCTGCTGTTGTTTTGTGTATTGGTGCGTGCTGCAATTTTATCCAACTGAAACTGAAACACATGCGAACACAAGAGGCCCATCATTTCTTATCAAGAGTAATGGGGGTAGAGTGGGGCGGAGGCAGTGAGCTGGAATCGGGGTCTGAAAGCTTCCACAAATGAAAAGCCCTGAATGCAGTAATAGTAATGAAACTAATACCAACAACATAAGAGCAGCTGGCGTCACCCACCCGAGAAAACAATGCAGCTCGATTCTCATCCCTGTCACAGTCCCCATCTGTGGCATATTCTCACCTTGCAGCTCATTAGCACCATGAATGGGCAGCGTGAAGCAGCAAACAGGTCCGCAGGGGGGCTCATTACCTCTACATCCCTAATCGCCTAAAGATCCAGATCACACACACTGGGCTGGAGAGAAACGGAGACAGGAGCTGCCAATGCACTAGCATACCAGGTCAGGCTAAGCAATACCTTAAAAATGATACTAGTTCATTTAATTAATTATGTGAGCTGGTGAATTTACAGAAATATACAGAATGGCTGGAACAACAAGATATCAGTAACTTTTGTGAGAACAGGAGAAATTCTTGTTACTTTTTATTATGTTATTGTTAATTTGCATACATTATGATAATGATAATTTGTATAATGATAAGTACATCGTTTTTTTCTAGACAAATATACACCTATTACCCAGATAAATAGCTTGATTTTCTTTGACTGCCTAAGATTTTTGCAGTGCTGTGTATGTTTGAGTATATTAGCAAATATATATGGCACAGGGTGTGTGATACTTTTGTATAGCAAAATCATAGGTAATTCTGTTTTTGGGCTACATTTAATGCAAGTCATTTTTCTTTGGTCAAACATACACTCTGCATACCCTAAATTCTATAATGAAATGAAGGACACAGCTCAGGAACTGCTTATGTTGCATTCACTCTGCAGAATTCTTTAGAATTGTCACCATTTTCACACATTATCAGGTTACAGTACATAGGACTACTTGCTGATAAAGGTGACAGTAACCCAATCACTGGCTTATATCAGCAGAAGGTAACTGCTCACTGATAACATTCCTCGCAAATCATTTCCTATTGTTTCCATATTCATTTCCTGTCTGGAGGGGCTTTATGGTGGTGCAGTGGTTAGCACTGTTGCCTCACACCTCTGGGACCTGGGTTCAAGTCTCCACTTGGATCACATGTGTGTGGAGTTTGCATGTTCTCCCCATGTCATTGTGGGGTTTCCTCTAGGTACTATGGTTTCCCCCCCACAGTCCAAAGACATGCTGAGGCTAATTGGAGTTGCTAAATTGCCCTTAGGTGTGCATGTGTGAGTGAATGGTGTGTGAGTGTGCCCTGCAATGGGCTGGCCCCCCATTCAGGGTCATTCCCTGCCTCATGCCCATTGCTTCCTGGATAGGCTCCGGACCCCCCCGTGACCCAGTAGGATAAGTGGGTTGGATAATGGATGGATGGATTTCCTGTTTCACAGAAATGTACATAAGAACATAAGAAATTTACAAACAAGAAGGGGGCATTCAGTCCATCATGCTCCTTTGGGGAGAACTTAACTAATAGAGTTGTTAAAATCTTATCTAGCTCTGATTTAAAGGAACCCAGGGTTTTTAACTCTAATTACACACTGTGTAAAGAAAAGCTTATGTAGCATTATAGAATATAATTTTATACATGTTCATCAGGTTATATAGTTTATTTTCTTTTGAGTCACCTTCAGCATTGTTAGAGGTATCTGTTTTAGACACACTCTGCCTACTCCATATAAAAAGTACAGTACCAGTCAAAATGTTTTGCATACCACAGGTTTTTGCCACTTTTCCATTTATTTCATAAACTGCAGATTTTTTTATTCTTGTTAAGCATTGGAAAGTTGAGTGAATGACTATAAATGAAAATATAAGTCAAATAAAACAAGTTCTTTATAACATGGAAATACTATGTAACAGTGCCTGTCTGACCTCCTATTAACTGGTTGTGTGGTGATGGCATATCAAATTGTTGTCACGGTTGTGGGCATCTCGGGCACGGGAACGAGGCATGGTGCAGGCACGGAAAGGATGGCGGACGACCCACTTGCGGCTCAGAGAACAAAACAGGGTTTATTTAACTGAATAAAGAAAAACACAAGGAAGGGCTAACAAAACAAAAGGACCACGAGGGGTCGAAAACTAAAAAGGG